CCCGCCACTCACCCGTGCATCTTCATTGCTCCTCTCGGTATAACTGACCCAACGGTACTGACACATTGAGGAACGGACGAGTGTTTCTTTTTATCAGTAGAGACTTGCCCTTCTACTTGAGATTTACGGTCGACACTAACACCCCCACCAACTTTAGCACGTAACATTGAGACACCGGGAAATATCAGCTAAAAGCAGTCGTTCACTACATTGCCAGGAATTTAATCTGGGGTTCATGACATCCAGTTAGTCGTTCCATACAGACTCGGTACCGCGATACGCGATCACTCTTTCTATATCATCCTGAGAAATTGACTCATTACTGCTTCTGCACTACAAGCTCTCAACGATACAACAGCTATCAAGTCCGGGGATTCCATGTCGTATGTATGAGCTATCTAAGCTTTGTGCGCGCGCCAAAGGCACGTATACTTTCCTCTGGTGAGACTGACAGTAATATGGATCGAACAAGGTAAGCCAACAAATATGTTTGTGCCTCGTCAGGGCTCCATCAGGACAAAATTGCGTGGCACTCATCGCTTTCAACTTCCGGTCGACTAAAATTTGTGGCATTCCAGCCTCGCCATATCTTGACGATTTATATCTCCATATTCAGCTTCAGAGCGATGTAATCCGCTACGCTGCCAAAAGTCTCAGCTTCACGAGGAGGTTCAAAGTAACGTCCAATGCTCTAACCGGTGTCTTTGTCGCAAGACGCACGGGTGCATGACATTGTATTCGCTTATGACATCTCCAATACCAATGCAAACTATCAACTGATTTTGACAGCCGCGCATCGTACGTGCTTGCACGACGCTAATCATTTTGTCAGGTTTTAACAATATTTGGGACGTTAGTATGAACAACCCATACCTATGTCCTAAAAATTTACCACTCTTAGATAGATCCTTCGCTTCATTTAAAGTTAATTCTCATCGACCACGATCTCCACGAGGTACTTAAACCCATTTCTTTCCGTATAAACCACCATGCGTCCTCTGATACTTCAGATTTTTCCTTATGGGGTTCGTCATCCGCAGCCCGACCCTTCGTTCCTCTTTGCCTCGAGCGAAGAGGTACGCAATGCGCAGATGTCTTATGCTATACGAATTCTCTGTGAAAACAAAGGACGTTTTTGGCAGCCAGCAGAATCGCTGATCGCTTCACCTCTGGCGTGATCGTGAACTTTTCATTTCCAGTAATTTATCCTGCTCTCGAGATACGAAATTTTTACTCCGCGTTCGATGCGACGCTGCAGTGGGACTGCCGTAGCTCTTTGCTTAGAGGAATCTAAGCTAAGGTCACCGACTTTAAGTACTTTATAGTACTAAAAGCCTCCAAGGCAAACGAACACTTCTCTTCAACAACGAAACTGCATTTGATTGTTTAGTTGCGGCAGAGCCGCCTACATTTGAAGCCTTAGGTTTTCCTAAGTAACATAGTTATAAATACAGTAAAAACCCAATTTATATGTAATACTACTGGTAATACTGCCACGTTGTGGCTTTTTGTTACGGTGTTGCCACACCATTGCGTGATTACACCAGTAATCCACATCCATGTACGGCCACATCATCTTATGTGACCCGCCCTTTCATACAAGGGTACGCGTAACCCGTTTCAGACGCCTTGAAAGAGGTAGGATGGGTGAATAACATTCTCGGTGTAATATCTACCCAATCGGAGACTCTGAGTGAAGATAGTAGCCGTTACTACCTCCGAGAGTAAGTCAGGGGGCATTGCGGCGATAAGTGCGATTAAATCATAGATATAGTGCGCCAGTTATTGCCTCGCTCGATGAGCGGATAAGCATTATGAGCACCGGTGAAAAGTTCAATCAGGCGGCTCAAGCTCTCGTGGTATCTGTCGCTTAAGATTGTTTTATCGATATGTAGCGCATTAGTATATCCTCGCGCGCGACCTCATGGCTTGGGAACCGCACGCAGGGCGACTGTCGCTCCATTGTAGCATGAACGAATTCTTGGCCGTCTCTACTTCACTCATATTTAAAGAAATTACTCGGTTTTCAAAAGCTTCGATGCTTAGCATTAGCGGCCTCACAGTAGGTGTGATCTATTCCTTCACCAAGGCCCGATCGGGACGCTCTTGGATATGCCTGCAAAGCGGAGTCTCAAAATGGTATCGCCTCCGCGCGAGCGATTGCCGCCTCCAACCCTTTATCCGCACGTTTGCTGAACCAATCGGGACCAACGATACGCATTATCCTTTAAGCTGGTATACCTGTCCCAGGGACAGGTGCTCGAACATTTTATGTTCCATACCGACAGAGAATATGGTCCTTTCAATCTAAGTTTTGGGATTGACGAAAAGTGCTACCAAGTGCAACGGGTTGCCATGCACTTTGCACAGAGGAAACTTTGCCGAAAAATCTGCTCTTAAAATAAACGCACAGAAATTGTGGTCGTACACTCATACTGGGAGTAGTACATTAGCCTACCGTTGCTATGCTACTTCAACGGTACATCCTTAAGATTTATTGTGCCCTACATTTATACGTATTACTCTCTCTTGCGATAAAACTGACCAGACAGACGGCCGACCCTAAGATTTCGCAAGTTTTAAGATTCACATATATTACCAAAAAGTATATATTCTCTACAATAGTACCAAACATGTAAGGGTTTACTCAAGATGACTTCGACTTTTTCTTAATAGATTACTTGGCTGACAGCCTAAAAGCATATTGTGACTTATACTACGCCAAACAAGACGTTCTGTCGGTGCTATTTTTCACAAAGAGACGGATACATCCCCTGTGCCACCGCATGCAAGAGATGAAGATATTTTTTGAGAGTAAGTTAGCATTCTGCTGATACGTTGCACCACATGGACAGTGGACCTGCCAAATGGTTTCACGTTTAAATACCTCTCGCTTTATTCAACTGTCTTCTGTTCACGACTTTCTTCCAGCCGCTCTTACCTACCCTTATTAGCTGGGAGTTATTGGCTGGGAAGTGTTCGTAATTCAAGTCATCATGACACCGCGGCTTCTCAACTGTTTGTCTATTAGAGCATCCTCGATCCGGTCCTGATGAGCCTGCATCTTTTGCGCCGCATTCACAATCAAAAATTTCGTGACAGCGCGAACAGTTTCGGCACCATAATTTGCTTCAGCTTCTGGCTCAAGTGAAATCAGTGACACGCATTGCAGCTGTGATACCTCCTCATCAGGCGTTGAAGTCAAGGACCGTTTGGTCATGGCATACCCTCGAAGGTGGTATGTGAGTCCAGGAAGCATTTTGTGCTTAATCTCAACAGGTTCAGCAATTGAAACCCAGATCACAATGTCGCGGTCGGGCTCCATGTATCGACGGACAAGCTGCTGCGCTTTAATATCCGCTCGAGCGTGTCTCGAATGCATTTCCTTCGTGAATTCTTCTATAATTGTGTATGGGTCGTCAAGATGCTATCAACAACGGCACCTGTTAAATCAATATGTTGTATCATCGATCATAAATGATCATAACACTACATACCTTTGCCATCTTTTCATAAATATTGCCATTGCCAAGATGCTTTTCCGATCCTTTGAAATGATCCCATGTAGCCTCTTTAGCAATACGAAGCCCAAAAGGTAATACTTTGTTTGAATACGCTTCAAGATATTTGCCACTAACACCTTCGCGAATGTGAATGTCGCTGGAAGTGAGTACCATTTTATCCAAACCATTGGAGGCAAAAACCGCATCGACTTCTTCGTAAGCAGTCTCTAGATGACGCAATAAGAGCGGGAAATCCCCAGGACCATCTCTGCGAGAGCTGAGTACGCGAATTACATGCCGGTTGGTGAAGTGAAAATCCATGAAGAAAGAGCAATCATTCACCTGGAAAAATGAAGGTCAACTTGAGTTCTTTCGCAGCGCAAAAAATTAAAATCACAAGTTTCTTCAAACGTACCAAATGGGAATCTCGTTTGTGTACCAAATCGCGCATTACCCTTGCAAGTTTCTGCTGCTCCTGAATTGCAACCTTTAAGTGACAGTTTTCACACTCTGTCTTTTTAAGTCGACGCATCTGTCGAGTGGCGATCTCTTCCCATACACGTGGAATCGGCGTCACTGAGCGCGTTGAATCTATCGACTCGTGTGATTTTATTTGAGTAGATCCTGGTTTATTTTTTCGACTTAGCAGCACTTGCAAGTCGAGCTGTAGCTTCTCAATCTTCTCTTGTAAGTACTCAATCTCATTTCTGCTTTCTTTGCTCATCCAATTGGCATTTTCATGGATACCAGCCTTGCGCAGAAGCTTCTTGCGTTCATTGAGAATCAGTCGTCGTCGCGATATCTTTTGCTTCAAAGCGTCGGAATTTTGAGTCTGTAATGATCTGACAGGTACAGTAGACTTCATCTTATGGTCGCTACAATCGCCAATAAAACTTGCAATGATATCATTTGTTGGGCGCGAATCACCAGACACAGTGGCCAGCTTTGTATCATGATGCATGAAGGAAGTTCTCGTCTGTATTGCATCGTCGGTCTTGTCGTCGTCATCGAGCACACACTCGTTCGCAAAGGACAACGCAACTTGAAAGGCACAATTGTCGTTATCATCGAGATCTAATCCCATGCATCTGTGCTGTTCCTGCATCACTATCACGACCGGTTCATCGACTACCCTGCGCAACAATATCCACTATTACGAAGCAGATAAGGAATAATTGACCATCAAGCAAAAATTTCGTCGGAGAAGCCAATCAAAAGTAAGCACTTGCTTCAGATGTCTTACTATTAAAGATTTTGCGTGCTAAAGTCGCAATTTTTGTGTGGCTTAGACTTTTTTTGATACTTTAGCTCTGGATTACATGACCAGCAACAGTCGTCTCTGAAATCTATGCGGCCGTCGTCGATAGCGCTGAGACGATTAAGTCAAAAAAGAGTTTCGCCGGGATAACGGCACTGACCAATCTAATGGTCTGAATATTTGAGAAATCGCGTGCTTCACAATAAAGCATTCCATAAACGGAACTCTGTCAGCACCAAAAAACATATTATTCTAGCTTGATCAGCTCACAGTGCTTGATGTGGATGTCCACATCCGATTCCTCGTGCTCGGTTCAACTATGGACAAATAAATTATCAAATAGGGTATGAGCGAAAGAACGATACGACCTTAACGGCTGTGCCACCAGACGGTCGAATTTCCTTGATACGTTAGATAGCTCATGGCATTACCGGACACATTTAGAGCTTCCAGCTCGAAAATCTCACTGCATTGAAAACCACTGTCTTCATTAGCAGTCCGTTGATTAGGTCAAGAGGTGCAGCTAATGCTGTTTGGCAGCAGTACAGTCTAAAATTAGCGATTGTGTCGGAAAATTGACTGCATCTGGCTAACTGTGCACAACTATCTGTGCACAATTCGCTTCGTGCTCACAGCTTACGGCACGAAACGTCGGCACTGATTGCAAAAACATATCTTTCTCGCCAAGCCCGCTTCAACTTTCGCACAGACGAAAGCATCTAAGCCGTCACACTCTTCCCTTGGCAAGAACAGTTATCTGTTGACGCAATATATGCTCATAAGAACCAGGACAATCTCATGACGCATTTCTCGACGCGAAAGCAGCACGCGTGGTGTTTCTACTGATGCTTTTTCGGTAAAGAATCAAAGAAATCGGCAGAATCCTTAAAAGTTGCCTCGATTCGCACTCACTACTCTGAGTTTGCAATTATTCTCCAAATTAGACACATTCATTACTAAGGACAAGATCGGTTTCTCTGTCGGCACAACCTACACTGTTTCGATGACTTGCATATCGTGCAAATATCTCCAAAATAGCCCTCCAATAAGGAAGTAGATTCTACATGAGGCAGTAAAGTGACACTTGTATTCCTTAAGAGTGGTTAAACATGCCCAACACGTCCCCGTGTGACTTCTCTGTGTCGCACTAAGACCTTGATGGGGAAGAAGGCATGGCACACAATCATTCAGCTTCATCTCCCATACCTAGAGCGACATCGTATCCCGAATTCAGGTTCGGTACCTAACAGCGCTGCAATTTGTCAAAGTTAGCAATCTATACAGGAAGGATCAAAAACCTTTGACAGCGTCTCACTGCAATTTGCGTTTATTGTTTTCTCATTCGACAACTTAAATGCCTTCACGTGCTATCTACTGAATTCGACAATCGTGTGTCGTACGTATTTGCACAAAGCTGTAACATCAATTAGGAGATTTCATGGCTTAACAAAGCCTAGTACATTGATTTTAACAATTTACAACACCGGGCTATGATTCTCGCCTTATTTAGTCGCCAAGCCTCACATTTGTAATGGACTCTTCATCACATAAGAAAGTAGATTGTTCTACATAAGTAGATCCATCAGCACACAATTAGCGTGCGCTCTATTGCTATCATCCTATTGTATGATATATGGGGAGCCAGACCCATTATTTGTTATTGAGTCGATGACGTTAAGTTGAGCTGCCAGAGTTTTTGCCGAGTTGAATTTTTGACAAACCCAAGATCAATCGCTCTTTCGCGAGTTTCCTCAACACTATAGTGCACGCGAGTAACGGAGTAAATACCTGGCTGGTTGCACTTTGCAGTACTTCTAATGACCAAGTTCAACATAAGCTAAGACCTGGACACGCTGCTTTCCCCGACCCCGTTACGATCAGGTGAAAAGCGCTCCACCGCCTTGCGGTGGTGTCCAGAGAAGCAGTCGTTACGTCGCTGCTGCGCCCAGCAACGCCCTACTGACAGCGTCTAGCTGCACAAGAGTGCATTAAACGCATACTCGCTGATGCGGATCGGCGAGTGTCAGCTCTTTTACGCAGCTCCAAGAATACTGTTATGAAACTTGAGACGTCCATGTACTCCGGGTTGGCGAAGACCGACTCCCGCTGAATTGATGGTATCGAGAGATTAACATCGCCATTGCCTCAAGGTTGATTGAGGCGCCGTCTACAAAGTTCTACTTCCTTCTGTCACGGCTGTCCAGGAAAAGAGTTGAGGTCGACAACCAACTTGCCGAGAGGCCAAGGAAAGGCCTCTCGGCA